TCCTGCTGATAATGGTAACAGAAACTTCCAACTAATGTCCAGTCTCTCATGCCTCTCATGTCAAAAGTTCCAATTTCATCCTTCCCCTGACAAAACCTCCAGCTTCCTCGATTTCTACAATGCAGTTCTACATTGTCTAGACAAAAAATTTAGATCTATCAAAAACAGAAAATGTGGCAAATCTTATGAAATAAATTTAATGTAATGTCAAAAACTATAATGCCCAAGTTATTCTGATTTTTTTTTTGCATTTTTTAATCTGTTTAACTAAACAACTTGTTTAAAAGTGCTATAGGATTATGAAAATTTCCATTACGTTGCAGGCAAATCTAAGTGCTTTGTCTGAAAATTTGGGTCAAGCATGCTGCAGATTAATTGACAGTCAAAGGCTCTATATCTCATTCCTGATTAAAAACTCTATTTGATGTGTAGCATTGGGCAGAAAAAGTAAACAAAATGTTAAAATGTATAAAGAATGAGAGGGGAAGTAACACAATATTCTATAATATAATCAGTGGTGTGCTGTCTTCTGGAATGCTGTGTTTAGTTTTGGGCACCCAAGCTCACAAAAATACAGCAGAAATAGTGGGAGTTAAAAAAGATACAAGTGATTAGAGATCTGGAGAGACTTTCACACACAAGTGAGGGAAAAGACTGAGGTTGTTTGTTTTAATGCAAAGATAAACAAGGGGAGATTTGAGAGAGGTAAATAGTATGATGAATAATAATAGCAAGTAAATTATGTGCTCATTTTACCTTGCTATAATATTAGACCAAGGGGAAAGGTAACATGCTTAACACTGATTAAAAAAAGGCTTTCTTACACAGAATGTACAACATGAAACTCACTGCTACAAAGTATAATTAAAGTGAATAATTTAATAGGATTAACAAAGCCTTAGAATTATATGTGGATAATGAAAACATCTACAGTTACAGTGGTGAGTGAACACACACACACACACACACACACACACACACACACAAGATGCAAACTCTTGGGATTCAGCATTTAAGTCCTAATTTATGAGGACTTCAGAGTAAATGTCTTCCAGAGGCTGGCATTTCATAGCTGCCTACTATTTTTTGCCCGTTTTCTAAAGCATCCTATACTGGCCACTATCAGAGAAAGGATACCAGACAAGGTCTGATCTAAGGTGGCAACTGTTGCTGTGTTCCTGAACCATTGTCCCACCCTACCAATTTAGAGAGTGAAGGACATTGGAAGTTGGGAAGATTGATTAAGCAGTCCATCTCCTACCAGTCCAAGATTCTGCGCTGTGCCTACATATCATTGAGCAGCTGAGGAACATTTAAAAAAATGCAGGGATTTCACAATGAGGATTGAAAATCCCTTTTTTATGTGTGCAGAAATTGCAGGATATGTCATGGGTATTACTAAGGGCTTTCCTTTGTTTTTTTTTCTCCTAATAGCATTTATCTTCTCTTGCATTTTGCAGGACAGATACCCAGTTAGAGAAGGTCGATATCAGTGAGCTGACCTGGGAACAGAAGGAATATGTTCTGAGGGCACTGTTTGCAAAAATTAATGCCTTGAATCAACGGTAATGCTCTATTTCTTTAAGAGCTGACTGTAGAGATCTGCTATGGAATCCAGAATGGGATACTGATAGCTCTAGAGTGGGGGAATCCAAGAAAATTCTGAATCTAGCCTATATAGTTATCATGCAGTTTGTGGCAGAGATATTTTTGTTCAATTTGGAAAAGGGGCCTTCCTAATTTTGGTCTGACTAGGTTGATCTATTTGTATGCCAGCTTTAGTGTCTCTGAAGAGAAAAAAAAATAGCTACACTAGTCAAGAGGTTAAAGAATCAATTTAGACTAATATAATGGAATTAATTTTATTTACAGTGGTTAACTAGAAACTAGGGCTGTTTTTTTTATCAAGCAATTTAAATAAATTGTACAGATAATTACAAAAGTGTCCCATCGACAAAATGAAGTATGTTCTGGATTTGTACAGTACAAAAACCTGAGGAAAATGCATATGCAAACTGTTAAATTTAAATTCACATAACTTTCACACAAGTGTGCATGTGTGCACACAATTGTATTGTATGTACAACATGAGGATGTTAGGGCTGGCACAGGAGTAAAGTTCTCATTCTTGGAGCTCATTTGTTGAACTACTTAGCCACATTATTATATCAATGAAGATTAATTGTGTGCATATTTAATGTAGATAGTGACTTGATCTACATATTGTTTCAGATATCATATATTTCATGTTTATCTCATTTGGGGAGACAATGTATTCTATGCAATTTCTCATGCTTTATCCACAGATCTGCTAATTAGAAAACCAGAAGCTCTCATTTTAGGCTTATTTCTTATTGTTTTAGACTAAAATCAGTTTAGAATTATATATATGTGAGAAAAGCAATTATCTTTTCCAGGGATCAGGAGAAGAATGAATTTAGTGAGCTAATTGTTTAGTCAGTTTCTAACTTCAGTGACTGTAACGCAAGTGTTCACAGCTGCTAAGCAGTGGAGATAATCCAGCGTCTATAAATAGGAGTTGGAAAAGCTATCCCTGAATGCCTGTGATTCGAACTGGGCAGCAAAACAGAAGCTGCTGCACTTTGACCCTGAACTCTGCATGTAACTCTCTTTTCTACCTGAGCTCCCATTCACTTCTTACTAAGTGAAAAAGCCTCAACAGCAAAACACATTATGATAGTTTAGATTGAATTTAGTGAAGTACACAGGACACTGGAGTAGCACAAATGCCTTGGCAGCAGATCAGGACACTCGTTGCTATTTGTGTTAGAGAGATGACTGTGGAATAGAAGCTTCTTAGCACAGGCCATGCTTAACTAAGATGTCTCATGTTTTTGTTTCTTCTTTACAGAAAAGGCAAACAAGTTTTGGTCCCTTTGGCTCCAGCTGCTGTTATTACTACTGCTGGAAAAAGAAACAAGACTGGGTAAAATGCTACATTTTTAAATCACTCTATCTAGGTACTCCTTTGTCTGAGCACCCCCCCAGAGATGCAAACCACAATATAACAAGCTCTCTCTCTTAGCTTGATAGAAAAATGCTTGATTAGAGTGAAGGTTTATGTTGGTGAGTTTGCATGTAGACATTGCTGAAAGTCAAAGAAATTAATTTTGCTTCCTTCCTGCATTGGAGTTGTGGCTATAGAGTTTAAATGTCATTGCTATCTATGTCACCCGGTATGTTGTGACACGTTGGAGTTCAGTCTTCTAGTTGGTTAAAAGGACACTCTAGTCAAAGCACCTCAGGGCAGGAGCCTTGTTTTATTTAAATGTATAAAACCCACATGTCTGATACTCTAGATACATATACAAAACTCTCCTTCCTCTCACTTTCTCAGTTCAGCTATTACTGCTGGAAGTGCAAAAAAAGGACCAATTTCTATTGCATTTGGAGTCTAGTTTTCATAGATTCAGGCATGATACAACCATACACCTGGCTGTATTATTTTCCAAGGCAAGTAGGTACCAATTTATCATTGGCACTTGAAAAAAAGGGCATCGTGTTTATTAGCACAGAGCACTTTGAGTATGCAAGGTGTTGTACACCACAGTTCCCTGCAACTTATAATTTCATATTGATGGATACCACAGAGCCAGACAATTCAGAAAAGCAGTGACTTATTTCCTTTAGGCCACACCTCTTTCACTTTGCAAGGAAAGGCAGCAGCTTCTTAAAACAAGGAGGGGTGTGAGGTTCAATTGTGGGGACCGAAAGAAAACAGAAAAAAGTAGGAAACAGAAAGCAAATTTACACAAGACGCTTAATGCACAGACTAATTCTGTTGCGCATTAGTGTGGTGGGCAAACCCTACGCTGAGTGCTAATGCGCAGTAGCGTCACAAAAAACAAATAAACCCCTCAAAAATGTTCATCTAATGTGCATTAAGTTAGTACCAGTCATTAAAGCTACTAAACTTAATGCACTGTAATTACAGCACATTAACGAACATGTAGACACACCCAGACAGACCAAACCATTTAAGCGAATAACTTGGAGATGCAGGAAAGAAATTGCTTCTCTAAGCAAAATAGAGCCTTGATAGTAAAGCTGTTTTCACCATGGGAAGAGACAGATTTTTGATTTTGTAAATGAAAGGATGGGATTTGTTAAGAGCTTTAATGTAATGGGCTAATACAGGAGTCAAATCAACTATCCTGAGTAAGAATGGGAACAGAAGTGATTCAGAATAAATGTACACCTTATCAGAGGCATTGATCCACAAGCCCCTAGAGGTGTATAAGACTGTGTCATTGTTGACTCATTACTGTTGCAGCCCAGAGAACACTGCTTCCAGCCAGACCTTCATTACACAGCAGGCTCCACTGTCAGAGTCCACCTCTCATGCAACAGCCCTTCCAGATATTCGAATGGTAACAGCACAGAAGAGAGAGTAAAGCATCACACACTAAAAGAACAAGCCATCAGAACCATCACAGCTGTTGCCTGACTTATTTATTTTCTTCTGGGACTTCTCTTATGCAATTGGAGTGATGCTGAGGCTGAGATTGTATCCTGATTCTCTTATAGTACTGCTAGTTTGACTGCTTCTCTGAATCCAACCTGAAAAGTCACTGTAAGCTTATAAAGTGTTTCCCCCCTTTTTAAAATAAAACCTTTTTTATTCTTCCTCTGGCCCAAGGTCTGTTGGTAGTCAGGGTTACCTCAGGCTCCTGCTACAGAGTTTAAGCTAAAAGCTGTGATACCACAATATAGGGTATGTCATTGTATTTTGAAGATGGTATCTTTCTACTCTGGAATAAATGCATTTGTATAAGCCTAAAGAACTTTTGGAGTAAAGCGATATATATAGGAACCTGCTGAAGGGCCTTCCTTGCAGTACTGAGCTGTGTAAAACAAGGAGCTGACTTGGGTCCGAGCAGATTTAGTTACAGGAAAAATGGAACCTATTACAAGGGGCAAATCAATGACATGTCAACAGTATCTCATGGCAAACCAGGGTCATTGCCTGAAGAAATTTATTAGCAATTTTATTCATAATCAAATTGAAGAATGTGAGAACTTTCCTCTAAGATATAACAGAGAAAATAAGATACAAATATTAGCGGCTTCACAATAGTTGTATTGAAGTCAGGCAGTTGTCAGTTACAAAAGGCATCATTATCAGAAGACAGAATACAAAAAGTGCTCATATTGTTTTATTTGATTAGACCAGGGGTGTCAAATACACAGCCTATGGGTTGGATCTGGCCCATGGAGTTGCTGTATCTGGGCCACTGGCCTACCAGCAGCCTACCAGAAGTTGTGGGGGTATGGCCTGCCACAGAATTTGGGGCCCTTTGGCACTGATGGCTATGGCTCCTGACAGCGAGCTTGGCTGGGTGCCCTCCCTCTGGATTGACTACTGCCAGGCCCCCTGTCACTGCTGGCAGCCCCACTGTCACTGCTACTCAAACCCCTCCCATACTAGTGGCCATAGTACCCACTGGATCTGGTCCACAATGAGACCCACAACTTGGATCCAGCTCTAAGCCCCAGTTGAGTTTGCCACCCCTGGATTAGATCAACAAATCATGATTAGAATCAGCATATTTGCTTGACTTTCCACAGCTGCAGAGACAAACTTTCTGCAAATCACTGTTGACTGGACTGAGTCCAAGTGAACATTACCCTTCATCCTACCTCATTGCAGGACCTTTCCATAACCACTCAAGGATTGCATTAGACACCAACTAAGTAACCCCTTCTTGGGTGATGGAACCCAGGACCACAGCTCCAAACAACACAGAACTTTATCCCATGGACTCACAGAACTTCCTTACCTGGCTCTCACACTGGGGAGTATCGTTCACTTGCAGATAATATGAGCATCTATGACAGTAACCAAAGCAGTAGGCAGTAGCAATACAGACCTGCATTATGAAAAGAAACTAAGAAAATGAGCCTGGTTGCTCTGAGGAAGGAGGTGCATTCTTCCTTCTAGTTCTGCCTTTTCCTCACAAGGCTCCAGTAACATTAACCAGCCATAAACATCGCTAAGCTTTTGCTTCCCTGGTTTCAGTCCATGACAGTATGTGTAGGCACATTTCTGTTATAGTGAAAAGCACCTTACTAGTGTTTTCATATATATGAGTTGAGAATTAAAATGAATAGGCATCATGAGGGTTGCAGTTTCCAAACTGTGGGACTCACTGAGTGGAACTTATTCTACTTCTCTTAGGAACCTCCTTGATCTTCACACTAGCACCCCAGAAGACATCACTCTAAACCCTTAAAGCAGTCTGTTCCCAAGAATCTTGGAAGCGGTTTAATGGGTAAAACGGTTAAAGCGTTCAAAATGTCAAGTCAGAGAAACTCCTGAATCTGCTACCTTCATGCAATGAAAAAGCCATTTCTTTGGCACCCAGCATGTCCCAAAATAAGGCAGATTTGTATCTTAACACATAAGACCAGGATGTGGATACAGCTTCACGTAGCTGGTAATGAGTCACTGGGTCTAAATATATGCAGTAGGAAATGGAACCTGGGCAGAGGTGTTCAGAGGAGTTTGAGGGGAAAAAGATAAATTGAGATCAATCTCTCCATCTGCCCTTTCACTCTGGGAAAGGTTTAGGGGAGAAACTTTGCAGTTTTGAGCAGATTAAGCTCAAAACAGTGATTGTGCCATTATGTGAAAAGGTTGTCTGCTCAAAGTAGAAATGGAGGACCTAGAGAGAACAGGGCTTTCTGTTTCTGAAAGGAAACATTCCCTGTCAGGACAGAGCTGGAAGGAGTCTGCAGCATGGATGAAGGGCACTATGGAAAGCATCTGTACAGGCTGGTTTAGTTCCCCATGGTTGGCATGACTACTGCAGGCTTGGTAACTGTGGCATCTTCCTCTTTCCATTGGGAGATGATGGTCTTTATCTGCGTGTAGAATTGCACCCCCTGAAACATGAAGAGGAACAAAGGTCATACATGTGGCCTTTGGACTCTTGCAAACCAGTGCTAAAGAAGCTTCTGCTGCACCCTCAGAATATGGAGGCCTCCACTACTGACACTGATGCTGCCCTCTCCCCGCTGGCTGGATGTATTTGACCCTCCAAGAAGGCATGCTGCTTCATCCTCCCTCCCCAACTTCTACCTTATTAGAATATACCCTGATGGTCTCCTCCTCCCCCACATAGCTTCACGCACCAGACTCTAAGAACAATTAAATACACCGGTTTCCTTAATTTGATTAGTTACCTGTTTGCCATAGAAATTGGTGTCCCCTCTGAAAGAGCCACGAGAGCCGGTGAAGGAGAACATTGGGAGTGGCACTGGAATTGGAACATTTACACCCACCTATATCAGCAAAAAGATACCATGTTTGAACAAGCACTGAAGTGCAGCAAGAGCAAAACAGCTTCTACTCCTCTGCTGCAAGACACTATGTCCAGTTTTCTTAAATATAAGACCATAGGGTATTATCTAACCAGTTACCAGGGCTGGCTGCCTGCCCCATGTTAACAGTAAGCACTGACCAGGATAATTCAGACTTATACACACCTGTCCCACATCCACCAAGTGGGAGTATTTCCGGGCGGTTGCTCCATTGGCAGTGAAGATGGCAGTTCCATTCCCATAGGGGTTCCTGTTTACTATCTCGATTGCCTCCTCCAAAGTATCTGCTTCCAGAACCACTAGAACTGGCCCAAAGATTTCCTCTTTATAGCAAGTCATGCTTGGCTGCCAAGGCAGAAAAAACAGAAAGTCCAAGTCAAGTGAATCTATGGTTCACTAGCCAGTGTTCCAGCCCATGAGGAATAGCACTTGGGCAATTAACTATTTGCATCAACTTTTACTCACCCCTTTCCCAATTTTCCATCATTATCTGCATCTGTCCTTCAATCCAACCACAATCTGCCTACCTATTCTCTAATCCAGATTTTAGGACATTCCCAGGGTGGAACCTTAGCCACTCTGAATTTATCAACAAACACATGGGACAAGCCACAGTTCTCAAATGTAGAAGGTGAAGCAGCAGTTTATCACTTGCCCCTGCATGACTGAAAAGTCCACAGGATCATCCCCAGCTGTGTTCACCAGAACAAATGCCACCCTTTCTACTGAACATCTGATATGCCTCATTCCTGTGTCTGAAGTAATCAGCAGTGGGGGTAACTCACCTTGACCTTGCCAAGGATAGTGGGTCCAACAAAGTTGCCATTCTCAAAGCCCTTCACTCTGATGTTTCGTCCATCCAGAAGGAGGGTAGCCCCTTCCTTCACTCCCTTCTCAACCAAATTACAGACTCGTTCCTTGGCTTGTGGAGTGATCAGAGGCCCCAGATCTGCTCCAGGTTGGTCTCCTGTGAAGAAATACATAAAGGGTTGAACCATGATAGTTTCTTCTCCAAAGGAAGGGTGGAGACGCAAGTGAATTCCTAGCAACCACAAGAATCCTAAGGATTAACAGTGTATAAAGCAAGCATAGAGGCAAGAGGGTCTGCACCCCAAGCCACTGTAATTGCAAGCCTGAATACTCCCAAAAGCCTGAGACAAGACATGCCCCCTAGTAAACTCAGAGTTCAATGCTGCCACATCAAGGGCTGTAATTTTGGAGCTCTTAAAAACATTTTGTAAAAGCCTTGCTGAGCCACATGGGGCCAAAGATAGCAAACAATCATATTCATTTGTAAGTTACATAAAATAGCTGCTAAAACCAGACATGAGCTGGAGTCAAAGGAGTTGAATGAACTGAGTTTGAAAGTCATTTAGCCGTCATGCTTCAGCCTAAGAAAAACCTGACTACTGGACAAACAATAGATTAGGAATTCCTGGAAACAAAAAGACTGATGTCTGGTGTCAGAAACTTTTTGAATAGGTCAGATCAATGGGAATGGGAATGATGGCCCTCTCGGCAGTCTGGAGACAGGATTACAGACACTGACAATGTCAGGAACTTAAGTGTCCCGAATTTCCATACTTCATCTGCTTTGTGGATTCTAGTTAATTTTCAAAGCCATCCGGGCCACAGGTGGACCAACGATGACATCAGGCTAACAAACTTTCACCTAAGATTCAATATTCCTACTAGCCTCCTCTTTGTCTGTTGTTTCCCCATTCTAATCTCTTGTTCTGTCCTTTTAGACTTATTGGGCATTTTTACACATGTTCTGGGCTGTGGTGCCGAGTGCTTTAATTAGCGAGCTGCACTAATCAAAAGTGCCCATGCGTCATATGTATGCGTCCCCACACTGAAAAAATGGCGGTGGGATGCTCTGAACTAAAGCTCAACAAACGTGTTTTATTTGAAAGCGCCCCACTGCCATTTTTTCAGCACGGGAATGCTGATACATGTGATGCAGAAGGCTGCAGGAGCACATCAATTTCTGTGCTCCAGCAGACTCTATTAATCTTTCCAGCGCATCAGAACAGGCTCCCTGCACATCTACAGGAGCCCATTAATTCCAAACTTCACCAAGTTTAGAACAAGATGTGAACTCTGTTCCACTATCAGCACCATATCCAGCCCAACTGGCTAACTGGCCCAACTGGCTACTGCAAGTCTTACTCAGGCATGCAAAGGGGCCAGAGGTGATAGAAGGTCAGAGTATGGTCAGCCAAATGACATCTCACACAGATTCAGAGGTTAAAATGCACCTGCCAATGACTGACCTTTCTGTGTCTTGTATTCTGCCTGCAGTACATGAATGAAGCAAACAACAGTGAGACAGAAGTTTTCCATCTCTTTTTTCCTCTGGTATGTTTATAATGCTTGTCTAAAGAGGAGGAATAATTGAGTCACTACCATGCCAAAATCCAACAGTGGATTGACTTAACTGGAAGAAAATGTCTCCCTCTGCAGGACTTTACTGAATGCAAATTAAAAAAAGGGGAATCCTCCTAAAAACAATAACGATCTAATTTTTAATTTAAAAAAGTGTGACTGTTCCCATTTCCCTTTCCTCACTGCAAACTTAATAGAAGTTGGCAAGAAGTTCTAAACTAAGTTGCTACATTAAAAGCAGGATTGGATCCATTAGACAATTTGAGTAAAATGTAAACATAGGCTTCTATCAATACTCCCAAGCCTTCCCTCACCACAGACTCCCCATCCATCCCAATCATGTGCTTTGGACTGGCCAGATCCAAAGCATCTGTTCTGTGCTCACAGACTAGCATTCCAATGAAAAGGTTTTCACCCCACTCCCTACTATTCTGTACCAAAGGTACAGAGCCCAAGAACTCAGTGTCACACACTGCAATGTGCTAAACTTACACAGCTAGAAGTCTATAAGCAAACACAAGCTGGGTGTTTCACCAGCAGTAACTAAACATTACCTGAATTAACTCGCAGATTCTTGGCTCTCTCCACCAGCTCTGGCAGCCATTTCTGTGCCTCTCCCACTAAGACTGCTGTAGAGAGGGCCATGCAGCGCTGGCCCGCTGCTCCAAAAGCAGCTCCAACAAGCTGGTTCAAGGTATTTTCCTTGTTGGCATCAGGCATCACCACACCGTGATTTTTGGCTCCCTAAAATACATCATATAAATGATCTCAAATGGCTAAATATGCCTGCTGGATTTCCCTTCTTTCTAGCTCTGCAAGGACAGCTCCATACAGCAGCTGTTAGTGAGCTGCCAGTGTTCTAACAGTAAGGGGAGATAAGCATCCAGCAGCAGGAGTTCAAGAATCAGCCTCTGATGCTGAATGGGTTTGGATTAAATACCTATATGAGGGAGGACTAATCTTTAAGCACAAGGGTCTACTATAGCAAAGGGCATTACCATATTGGCCTGGACTCTCTTGCCATTCCGAGATCCCCTTTCATAGATGTACTCTCCAGCCTGATTGGACCCCACAAAGCTAATTGCCTTGATATCTGGATGGTCACAAATAAAATCCACAGCTTCAAAGAGAAAAAAAAAAGTGTGTTATACTCCAATATGCAAATACTCCCTCTGCCC